TAATAGGTGAAAGAACTAGCTGCAAAGTGTGGTGTCATCCAAGAAATTCAACTGTTCACTATGTTGCATTTCTACCATGACCTCGGAAACATCATCTACTACGGTGAACAGCATACACCAGGCAGTGCTCTCAATGACATCATCATCCTGAATCCTCATTGGTTAATATGTATCTTTAGGAGAGTGATCACAGTCAAGGATCCTTCAGAGCAAGTATGACAATTCTTTTCAATGTTTTCATTTAATAATTTTTAATAATATTATGTATACTAATAATATATTATTATATTATTATTATTATATTAATTTTTTTAAGAATGTAATAATTTTTCTTTATATTTAAGTGGGCCAAATTCAGAAGTTCATGGGCAAGACTTGATGAAGAAGGACTCCTGGAAGAGAGACTGATCCGACACATGTGGCATGACTTCCTTGACCAGTTAGAAGGCTTGTTACAGCTGATGCAGAAGTTTGACTTGCTTTGTGTCAAGGCACAATCTCCTGAGGTACAGATGCTCTGATTGGTCTGTTTAATCTTCATCTCTTTCAGATACTTTAGAAGCCTTTTCAGATCATTTTATTGGTACCATGCACATTATGGTATAATAAATGATTATATTTCTTTCTGTTAGATGCCAGCCGTTGTCGGATCACCCGAGGAAGGGAATCGTCTCTTCTACGTACCATCCCTGCTAAAGAAGCAAGAAGATGAGATGGTGTGCATGGACCCGCTGATGAAGTCCAAATCAGTGGTCATCCTGTACATTGACTTCAATGGGTTTTTGCCTGAAGGTCTCTTCTACCGACTCACTTTGAGGCTTGTGCAGTGGTCACAGCATCAGGGAGGCTATGAACCTAGGCTCTTCTACCAACAGGCCAACCTTTATGTGGATGAATATCATGACATGATCCTGAGGATCCTGCCTCAGAAGAGATCTTGCATCCAGGTAGTGATAGTGATGGTTGTGATGATAATAATTTGAATTAACAATGATTAACAAATTAATTTATTCAGGTTTTCACAAAAATATGGTTCAAACGAAACAAAAAATGCTGGCCATGGGGACTCCGAACTTAATCACTTAATATTGATGTCCCAACCATATGATGATTAAAATGTCTTTTTGGCCTGTAGGTAGCCATTGTGCGGGCTAAATCTGTTGGAAGTGATGATGAAGAGGAAGAGGAAGATGATGTTGAGCCTTGCCCAGATGTTTGCAAAGTGGTAAGTTTTTTTATCATCTTAAGTGTTAAGCCTCTTTAACATCAATATCTTTGAAATGTATGTTCTTTGTGGCTGTATATTTATCTTAATTACTTACTTATTTTATTCCTTTATATTCAGTAATAGCGGATTAAATCTGATAAAGATTTGATTGGTGAAGTAATGTAAATTCATTAAAAAGAACCAGAACATTCCCTCTGTCACAACATTTTTCACTTCATTTATTCATCAAACATTACAAACAAAAATAACAACAGACCATAGATCAGAGAGACATAATTAACAAAAAGCAAACTAAATTGCTGTACAAATTTTCTGTGATTTAAGGGAACATACATGAAATAAATATATCTGTTCTCTGAAAGTAAAAACTAGCAAAAACAGCCTATCCTAAAAATTGAAAAAATTAAAATATAATTTAAAAAATTGTCAGCAGAGCAGCACAGCCAAGTAAGTAGCAGTGACGGTATCTGAAGAACACATGCACAACAAAATTAATTTTTGAAGACATGACTGCAAATGAGACAGAACAAATAAATATATAATTTATAAAATAATTAATTTTAATGAAATAAAAATTTATGGATCAAATGCTGTATTTAATTGTTGCATTACCTTTTGAATCATTTGCCACTGTAAAAATGCAATTGCAGTACAATTTGTCTACCATGTCTTTCAAACTGCTAGGGCTTTTTCCCCTTAGTCTGCAGTATCACTTTAGTATATTTGGCCGTACATAAGTCCGGGTATAGGCTACTTGGCTCTACATTCTCTGACCATCTATAAATTAACATAACATTTATCTAGAATGGTATGCTAATTATTTTATAATGTTTCTTTACTATTAATGTATGCTTTAAAACTCAATACATTATCATATAGTATAGTGAATTTACATATATATATATATATATATATATATATATTTTTTGATGAATAGGCCTATGTATTTTATTTAGGATTTATGAATGCCTACTATATTATATATATTTTATTTCATAGTGCCTATATTTATATATATTTTTTATATGGTTCCTAAATGATCTAGTATATT